ACCTGCTAACTGGATCTGCTACTTTTCTTGGCCATCACAGCAGGTTCTCATCCCAGAGCCTTTTCACTTGTCTCTTCTCCCTGAAATGCTATCATGCAGACCATCCCTGACTTCCTTAGGAATGCTGCTCAGATATCACTTCCTGAGAGAAGTCACTCTCATCACCTAATATTTCAGACCCCATTTTCTAAAAATGTCCACCCTCTTTCTCCACTCTATTTCTTCTTCCTATAGCCGGCTGTTTCTTTATTGATAATCTGTCACCTTCACTAGAACATAAGCTTCAAGAGAGGACAGGACACTCTCCATTACTGTTACAACTCAGAAAAATGCCTGGCATATTGTATTTTCTTTACAGATAGATGCCAAGTCAACTAAGTAATTTATTAGATTTATAAATGAGAAAACTGAGGCTCTGGAATTAGTGACTTTCACACAAAGAGGACTACCATCCCAGAGTACACTACTGAAAGAAGAAAATAGAAACACTATTTTATCTTAATTATCTCTACTAAGTGTTAATAAGTGCCATATATTGTCCTTTTCCTCTTCTTTCAACCTCTGAGTCTTTATCTCCATTCTGTAGATGAAGAGCTGGAAGGTCAGAGAGGTTAATTGACTTGCCAACATCACACACCTAGCACTCAACCAACCTGGGGATAGAATCAAGGGCTATGGATTCCAAAGCTCGAGCTTTTCCTCTTCTTTATATAGTTCTTGTCATCGTGCCATACTTCCTCCCACTGGAGTAAAGGAGTTTCTTGATGAAAGTGAACATTTGCTATAATTTTCTGCTGACCATCTATTTTATCTTTCTCTGAGAATAGTGTCTTGATTTTCCTTATTTGAACCACCTCTTCCCTGCCTCAGTCCCTAGCTCCATGGTGAACACATGAGCAGGGCTGGCTGATCAAAACAGTCCATTCCTGGTCACAAGCATTCCTTGGCTCACTGATTGGATGAGTGAAAGTCAGCCATGAGATCTTTGCTAGAAAGAGCCTCTTTTTCCCCTGTTGTTGCTGAACAGTTTGAAGCTGCTGGTGACCATCACTACCACCTCATAGGAAAAATCTGTCTGAGAATAAAATTAACCTAAAGGAAAATAGAGGTGCAACACAAGGAATGTCAGTGTCTTGATTATGTAATTTGAGGCTACAGATCCAATAGTGCCTTAAGACAGTTTTATATTTAAACATCCTAATTACATGAGTCAACAAGTTCCTTTTTTCCCACCATAGCCGATCTGAGTTGGGATCCAGCCTTTATTCCCAATGAAAAGAATCCTGAGTAATATACAGGAAAATCAATATTGTATTGTTATACAGATTAGAAGGGGAAAATAGGAAAACCAGTTAAAATCTAGATAAAGTTCATCTCAGTGAAGTTTCATTTGAAAACATCACACAAGAAAAATCTTACACATTCATAGCAATATATATTGTAATATTTTGTTAACTGTAACCCAAAGAATGAATTTAAAATGATTGCCATTTAACAAACCAGTGAGACAGCATGGATTTTGTTGCAGAGAAAAGAACAGTAAGAGAAATTGGAGATTAGTACCTATCCTGATTTGATTAATCGATTATGGTCCATTATTTTCTGCAGTGCTCACCAGGGAGAACTAATCAGAGCCATGATTATAGGAGCAGCTCTCATTGTGAAGACTGTATAGGTTAAAGGGAATATGGAGACATTGGTCTCCTTCAGAGAAGCAGTCCTAGGTCTTCAGAGAAAAACCATAGCAAGTTCTGGAAAAGGGATGGACAAGTGAATCAAACAACCCTTCGACCAATGTGAGGTACAAATGTGTATTCTCTCATGACCATGGCAAGCTCAAACCGCTAGAACTGCTCAAAATATTTGGTCATAAATGTAAAACTACAGCAACATACAATTCTATAAGATTCCTTTCAGCTTCATGTCCTTGATGGTCATACTCAGATGTTATCTTTCCGTAAAAGAATAAGAGGAGGAAGAAAAGATCATCCTGTTTACTCCACCCAATGCTGAGGCCAAACGCTGAGTTTTCTGGCTTACCAATTTTAAGGACAAACACGGGAGGTAAGCGCATCTCATCTTTACCCTTGTTTTTTTGATTCAGAATACTCTGAAATATTGCTGTGGAACAGTCGTTAATGGTTAACAGGAGGTGTGTAGTTGCATCTCTATTATAAGACGTATGAGCACAGGGCTCACCTGTAAATAGTCCACACCTATTGGAATGAAATATCAATGTAGTTTGGTATACAGCCAACATCTGCCAGCCTGGAGCTTTGTCATAACCCCGGCTTGCTTTGCTGTGCTTTATTTTGTTTTCTTTGCTTTTGGTTGCATGGACAGATATTCATGCATAACTGTGCTTGGATTGACCACGTTTCTTTATAGGGTATGCCTACGTGGGTTAAAATTCTACAACAAAGGGCCTATCCTAATACCTTTGTCTTGGACAAATGTCAGGAATAAGTAAAACATTATTTATCTGAATAGGCAAGTCGAGGCTGAGAGCCTGACATAAAAGAAAGAGCACTGGTTGAGGAGTCCCCAGACCTGGGTTCTCAGCCTGACCCTGCTGCTAACTCTCTGTTCCTATTCTTAAATGAGTCTATTTACCTGTCTCTGTCTTCCCCAACTGTAGAGTGAAATGGGGCAGGGTAAATAAAGGGAGAAATTTTAAGTAATTAGTGCTTCTTAAAAGTTAAAGGAAATTCATACACTGTCACAAATAGGTTCTATCGACCAAGCAGGTGGAACCAAAGAGAATGAACTGTTCACCTGCTTGTTCTTTGCCTCATCACCTTACCTAAACTTCCACCAACCATATGCACCAAACACCCATAATCCTACCAGGATCACACAAAGAAGCACCCAAAAAACAGTTTCATACATAGTATGATGGTTGTGATTTCTTAGTACTCCGAGCTCTCTTCATCTTCATTGTAAAAAAAAAAAAAAATGATTGGAT